GCATACAGAATTCAGCACTGAACAAAAAAAGTCTGTTTTGAGCGGTGAGGGGAGTCTATCTTAAATGCTTCTGATTGGCCATTGCGTTCAAGAAATAAACACATATGTCTGTGATTGGCTACATCGCTCAACGCTGTAACCATGTTATGAATAGAAACTCTGGCCTGTAAATCGTTTCTATTTTGTTGTAGTTGTTCTTGTTGCTTTTCTGCAAGAGATGAATAAAAATCTTTTAGTTTTTATGTTTTATTCATAGATATTTCTAGTTTGCGGGAGTCCCGCGAATCGTTTTATTCTCCCGTAACCCGCACACACAGAGTGAGTGCATTACCGCCCGCGCGCGCGCTCGGCCATCAGATCTATGATGCGTCTTCAGATGTTTAATTAGATTGCTGGTGTTAAACGATGTACTTTCTTTCCCTCCTCTCGACACCTTAGCTGAACATAACTCACAGTCTGCCTTGCTGTTGTCATCACCCCTTATCTTGAAATGAGCCCAAACCGCCGACATTATACTTTCCTATGCCTCAGTTCACCTCGACAAAGCACTCGCGGCGGCCAGTTTCGTTTTGCAAATATGTACGTGGTATCGGTGCGTGGTATCGGCGAATTTTTATGAGTACGAGTACGAGTATATTAGGACAGTATCGGCCCGATCCCCGATGCCAGTATCGGTATCGGGCCATCCCTGATATATATATATATATATATACACACACACACTGCTTAGAATTAGAAGAGAACACACCCATGCTAAAGTTGACTAAAAAGAGGAATAAAAAAATCTTAATGCCTTAATTAAAAAATTAGGAAAACTCTAACCTTTAGGGACGTGAATAATGTCCCTGAATTCTTTGTGAATGAATAATGTATCGCAAATAATTAAATGTTCTTCTTTAAAATACAGGGTGCATACGTCTGGACACTTCTATCCCCAGAAACTCCTAACAAAAGCTGATGTCTTTATTTTGAAGCTTATTTGATGCTTATTTGATTTGAAAAACTTTATCCAAAACTAGTCAACGAAATTTTGTCTTTTATTTCGTCTGTAACAGTGCGTATCTGTGCGTTCATTCATTCATTTACACACACACACAGAGAGAAACATGATTCACAGTATGCTATTTTTCCGTTTACAGACACGAACGTTATTCTATATCGCGATTAGAACAAAGCACAGCCATAAAACACTTACAGTTCTCAGCTGAATCTGTTGCTCCTCCTCGAAGTGAAAATAAACCAGCACTTCTGTATTAAATGTCCCAGGATTATTCCTCATAGCTGCGCAAGACGAATCTTAATCTGACTAAAAAATATAGTGCGTTTACAGCATTTGCCTGGGGGCGTTTATCTATTTTGCAAATGGCCTCAACACATTATCTTATGAATAGCGCGCTCTGCGAGTGGGTGTGAACAAATTAACGATAATGAGGTGAGACAGGAGAAACTGTACTTCTCTTTAGTTTCAGACAGATTACATTGCAGGAGAATATTTGTTTTAAATGTGAATTGTTTTATTTAAAAGTAGAAATTTAAAGCGTTCTTTAGACGTATGTTTCATGTTTGTGTGATAAGTATTAGCGGAGTTTCCGTTCATTTTCCAGACATGTTTCAGAAAGATTTTTGCGGAGACAGAGTGAGCTGAAAGCTTACCCTGTTTTATTTTATTTATTTAAAAAAAAAACACAAGGTTTTGATGTTAATGTGAGTGTACACAAAAAAAGAAGACCCTCTATAGTTTATAATCATGTATTGATTTTATTTATATGACCATAAATGACGGAGTATTTTAAGTCTATGTTGCTGCTATGTGAAAAAAAAACAGCAAAACGCGCGGGCGCATTCTTGGTCCCCAGAGGGTTAAATCCCGTCTGGCCAGAGCGCTTCTCATATAATAATGTTTACTCAGGTCAGATTAGGCGGAGAGTAGTCGAATTTTATCAACCGTAGCTTCTTTAAAAGGGAGGGGTGAGCAGTGGGCTGAGCCATTAGTGCAACTCGCAACCGAACCGCTAGATGCCGCTAAAATCTACACACTGCACCTTTAAGCTATCAGTAATGAGGTGGTTTTGAAAGAATGTTTTGTGCCTCCACAACACAAAGAACCTAGCATAAAATGTTTCTTCAAAATTATATGGATCTAAAAATAACTTTTACTATAACCTTTAAAGAACCATCTTTTTTGTGAGTACACTAGTCCCCAATGAACAAGCAGCTGTTTGCAAAATGATAAACATAAATGTAAGCAAAAATGATATTTTAAATTCTTGACTGTGAACACAAGAGATATCAGCTGTTATAATGAGAAGGCTGTGTCACTACAGAGTATCTGGGTCATGAGGGAGAGGGAAGTTAAAGAGAGCTCCCTGTAAACTTATTCAGGCTGTTAACTGTAAATTAGCTATTGATTCAGAAATTTTCTCTGCTTGCAGCCCTAGGTGTGTGTAGCAAAACTTTGTGGAAATGGAGCAAGAGATCAGGGTTGCCAGGTCAACACAAAAAAAAACTAGCCCAATGGCCAGTGCCCGCTGGTTGTTCACAACCCCAAATACCTCTAGATAGAACATGGCTCATTTGGATATTTTTTTTTATTTTTTTTTATTTCATATTCATATTAGATTTGTCAAGATTTTACAGACCCATGGAATCCCAAGTTTTATCTTCTCAGTAACTTTCTTTTTCATAGCATTAATTAGCATTATTATATTATGTTCCACATTACTTGAAACCCTGCAGTTTTTCTTTTACGGGAAAGGCTTTCTACTGTGGCGCACATACAGTCCTCTTTAATCACCATGTCTGGCATGAAGATGGGAAAGTTTTCTCACTGAGCTGGTGACCCAGAACTGGGCCTGACTGTGTGAAGGTCAAATTCTGGCTGTTGCACAAGGACAAGCTGCCATAATAGAGAGCCTAAGTCCCTCCCCTTCCGGTCGACCACCATGGAACCTTATTTCGAAAAAATATTGTATGGTAGTCAATGGCAAGAGACAACAAATATTTTGATCTCGTTTGAATTGTGCCCTGAATTACACATATGATGTTTGTCAATTTAAAAGATACATTTTAAAGTCAAGAAAGTTGCAGTTTGATGTAAAACTGTTGAGGTATTAGACTGAAAATACGTAATTACAAAGACTACAAACCCAAAAGGCGCACATTTTCTGTCAATGAATGAAGCTAACTTTACTGAAGCTAACGTCTGTCATTTTTTCTATAGTCTTACGTTATAATCGTAACGTTACGCCGCCGTGCCTGAGTGTTTTGCACCAGACTGCACACATATGAGCAACGGATCTTGATCGTTGTTTCGCTTTCCGGGAGATGTAGTTCATTGAGCGATTTTCACATAAATGTTATACTCTTCTGTTTTATGAAAAACTGCGACTTTCTTGACTTTCATAATTATCTTTTAAATTGACAAACATCAAATGTGTAATTCAGGGCACAGTTCAGACGGAATAAAAAGATAAGTTGTCTCTCGCCATTGACTACCGTCCATAGCCTACATATTATTTCCGAAATAAGGTCCCATGAGCCGGAAGCGGAGGGGAGGGACTTAGGCTCTCTATGTTTCTTCAGACAGGGTGTAATGCCATTCTGCCATTCATGATAGAAAAGTCATGTAGATGTGGGTGAACTGGGCAGTGCTTACAGGGCAGAGACAGTGTGGTGAGTCATGAAGATTGTCCTGCTGAAAGGTAATCTATTCTATAGATATAGATGAGCATTTCTATAGACAGCATTTTGAGAGCGACGAGCACAAATCCTGTCATTTTTACTACAAAAAAAAAACCCTGGCAACTGTGGTTGACAGATTAATTCTGTAAAATACAGTAAAACTGTAAACATTACAATATTTTACCATTTAAAACATATTTTACCATTATTTTTACAGAATTAATCTGTCAACCACAGGTGCCAGTTTTTTGGAGTTTTTTTCAAAATAAGAGGGATCATACAAAATGCATGTTATTTTTAATTTAGTACTGTCCTGAATAAGACATTTTACATAAAATATGTATAGTCCACAAGACAAAAACATTATAAAAATGATTCTGTTCAAAAGTTTACTGTGCCCTTTATTCGTATGAGTGTTGCTACCTGGATGGTCCACGACTGTTGTTGTTTTTTTTAGGTTTTGTGATGGATGTAACATAAAACCCTAATGTACATAAATGATAACAAGAAAGAAAGAAAGAAAGAAAGAAAGAAAGAAAGAAAGAAAGAAAGAAAGAAAGAAAGAAAGAAAGAAAGAAAGAAAGAAAGAAAGAATCCGTCAAAATATGGTGCTGGACATGGATTTCTGAGGATGTCAGTTTATGTTTAAGTTAGCCTAAAAGAGGATTTTTTCTTTTTACTGTACTTCCAAAAAGGTGTAGGCTATTTAACTATATTTGACTGTAAAGTAAGTCACATGAAATATAATGTTAGATCTATTATAATTTGTTACATTTATAGTAAGGAAACTGGGTTTGTTGTGCTTTTTTGCAGTTAAATTATAGGCTATACACTCTAAAAAAAAAGGTTCTTCAGCGGTTCTTCAGGGGTTCTTTGCGGTGGTCATGGTGCTATATAGCACCACTACCATTTAAAGAACCTGTTAAGCCCAATTTGGTTCTTCAGCGGTTCTTCAGTGGTTCTCTGGGGTGGTTAAGGTGCTCTATGGCACCTCTTAAGGTTCTACATAGCACCATTTGACAAAGATAAGTGGTTCCCCTATGATTACAAGCCAATGAACCACTTTTAGTGCTATTTAGCACCATTTTTGTTTAGAGTGTAGGCCTATATATATATATTTTTTTTTTACTGACAACAATGTCTACTTTTAGAAAGATTTTGAACATTGAACATTGAACACAGAACATTTTAGAACACATAGAACGCAGATCTATTAGCATCACCCACTACATTAGTTTTTCAATTTGAAGTAAAGCGATAGTTCATTGCAAAGTCCCTCCCCCAGGTGTCTGTCTGTTCGTTGTGCATGTGCGCGCGCTCTCTGCACTCCGTACTCAGACCGCGCGCGCACAGGAGTGCACTGATCATCTCCCCGGAACAGTCGGACCTGTTCAAATCGTGCAATTCGCATACAACTTTCTTTTTCTTAGTTAGAGGAGGCTGGAAAAAATAAAGTGCACAACTCTCTTTTTTTGTATCAGTCAGGGGAGAGGGGTTTAACTGTTGTCGGATATCACATCGTCAGTCGCCGTTGCCATGCAAGTTCACACCGCCAGCCTCTTGATGTGTGGAGTGTCGGGTGAGTTACTCTGCTTCACCCGGTGTTTTCCTCATTCATTATAATAGAGAATGCAGCATGATGTTTAACACTCAAATCAATTTTACTACAGTTTATCATTTAACGTTCCTTGCTTTCAATTTTAAAAATAGTTTTAAAAAAAATAGTTTTGCCCCTTGTGGAAACTGATGCATTATTCCGTTGCTTTTGGTACATTGCGGTAAATTGATTAATTTGACTTTACTGTTACCCTTTCGGCCACGTGCGAATAACTCCGTGACATTCATTGTAGTTATTTTCTTCGTGCATTAGTTTGAGGTTCTTCTTGGAGCCATAGAGACGTTTTGTACGTTTTTATATTGAAGACATATTGAACAAAACACTAAGGACTTTGTGACATGTAAATCCCTAATAATTACGTGATTAAAAAGACACTTGTTGTTTTGTCAATCTACCCTCCGATACGGGCAATAGCCTAATCAAGTCGCTATTGCTATACCTCCTCAAGCAAAGGCGATTTGCGAGTAACGTTATATATTTAGCGCATGTCTAACTTGACTTGTAATCTAACTTTTGTGTTGTCAAATAATCGTTTAAACGGTGTTGAAACAAATTTTTTTTTGACCTTTATGAAAAAAATGGTAATTTTTAATGCATCCACCAAACCTTTACTTGATGTAGTTATAATTGAATTGGCTTAATTCGCACATGCTTCCCATTATTCAGTTATTAAAATAAGTTTTTGAACGAGGTACGCTATAATATTGCTATGCCTACACTCGTATATTAAAATGCATTATAAGGAACAGGAAATGGCATACGGGTTACTTACTGTACATCTTATTAGGCTGCATGTGACAAAATTCTACAAAAGAATTGTATGCACCTGATGTCCCAAAATTATGTCTAGGTAGGCAGCTTAATGGGTTTTGAAACACACCCCATGATTTCATTTCATGTACACCCTTGTTTGCTCAAATTTTATGCAATTTTTGTGTGTGAGTAGTCTTTGAGTAGGTCAGATGTTGCCTTCATTGAGGGGACCAGCCAACGGTCACAACAAGGAAACCAGCTGAATAAACATACTAAACAATGTTTTAATTAAAATCTAAAAATGCAAAAAAAGTTAAGTTTAAGGGTTGGGGTCAGGGGATAGGAAATATCATGAATTTAGTATAAACAATAGAAGTCAATAGAAAATCTTACTGTGGTAGAAAATAAAATAAAATGTGTTTGTGTATTTAAATACCTATTTGTGATCTATGATTTGTATAATAATTATAACAACAACAACAACAACATGTTTGTCTTGTGTTCTCCAATTTGTATTTATGATGTGAGATTTATCATAAGAATATGGCCCAATAGTGCACAACACAACGAAATTTAAAAAGCAATAAGTTCACAACACAACGAAATTAAGCCACAACACAACGGAAATGAGCCGCCCGCAACACAACAGAAATAAGCTAGCCTGGTTAAAACCAGACCATTCTCAGTTGTAACTGAGTTATGGTCTGGCAAAGCGTCATAGACAAATCATTTCCAGAGGTGCGTCACCAACGGACGTCGCGGATAGACCTAAACCCATCAGAGCGATGAAGGAGATGACGTATGCAGAGCGGCGGAGAAACATCTCCGAGTGTTGTTCTTTGCTCGGTTTTTAACAAAAAGGAAAAGTTCAAATCGCTTAAAACAGACGCGATAGCTGATTCGAACGAGTGATGTTCGACGGCGGCATCCATCTTTGTAATGCAAGTTAGGCTACAAAATCTGCTTCAAAATCCCAGCGCTGTCGTCATCGTGTAAAGCCCGCCCCAACGTTTCTGATTGGTGCCACGATTTCGACGGATTGGAAATGGGCTTGAATGAGCTCTTTGCCAGACTAACTTTCAGAGCAAATCTAAATTTGCCGGAAGTTGTCTGGGTTTTCCCAGGCTAGAAATGAGCCACAACACAACGGAAAATGTACAACACAACGAAATTAAGCCGCAACACAATGGAAATGCTCCCGACAACTAGAGGGCTCTCGGAGCTCTGTAAAGTTATTTTTCCTTGCCATGTCTTAATATATCAATTCCACGATTAGTTTTAACAGTATGTAACCATTGTATATCGACATAAAATATTACTTCAAAATCACCTACATGAATTATAGCTGCGCATTTATACTCGAGAATGCTTTGACACGCTACCACAGCACATGGTCACAAGGGAACATCTGGCAATTCCACCAAGTGGTTAAAACATAATTTATTATAATATAAATTTGATAAATAAAAATAAAAACCATTTGGTGAATTGCAGAATTACAGGAAGGCATTGGCACAATTTCACCTGAAATAAGTCAGTCTGATCACTAGGAACCTACCACAAGCTTTGGGACATAAAAAAAAAACCTTTAGGGGAATTACAGTAAGGTTAGGCCTAATGTTTTTATAAAAACAAATTGTGTACTGTGCATACAGGGAGCCATGGCACAATTTCACCTGATGTAAGTCAGTCTGGTTAATAGGAACTACAACCTTTGAAACATGATAAAAGAAAAACAACTTTTATTATATTACAGAAATTTCCTAAAAAAACTATTGTTTACTGTAAAAATACATGAAGGGAGGTAGCCTATTGGAAAAAAGTCACCAGTAGTAAGTCAGTCTACTATCAATACAATCAAGCTTTGGATTTTGAACATGTCTGTTTTTATTATTATTACATGTCAGTAATTTTAATTAAGACAAATTATACGTTTTAACAACTGAATTGGAAAGGAAAAGGAATTGGCAGTCGTACCCTGGGAGAACATGCGTTGTGATACCGCGTCAAAGCATTCTAAAGTATAAATATGCAACTATAATGCACGTGGGTGATTTTGAATTAATAAATGTCGATATTCTATAGCTACATACGGTTAAAACTAATCGTGGTGTTGATATCATTTTTAGACTGCTGACTCTATAGAACAGTGGCATAGAAAACTAACTGTATCGCGCTGTGAGAGCCCTCTAGTGGTCGGGAGCATTTCCGTTGTGTTGCGGCTTTATTTCGTTGTGTTGTACATTTTCCGTTGTGTTGTGGCTCATTTCCGTTGTGTTTTGGATTCCTTTCGTTGTGTTGTGAACTTATGTTTGCTTTTTAAATTTCGTTGTGTTGTGCACTACTGGGCCACCGTATAAGAAGCACTCAAAAGCAGATAAACTCCATTTCTTGATCCAAGCACAACTCAAAACAGCTGCAACGAAAGTCAAGTCCTCAAAGAAATGTATTCATGGATTTTTACTGCCTAAAAAAGAAAAGTTAAGATAGCACGTTTGTGTGGTTTGCAGATAGAACTGATGTTATGAGAAGCAGTGCATTATGGCAGTATTGATTTATTGGTTTAACTAGAAACCCAACACAGAATATCTCAATGGAAGATTAATGCCGGACAGAAGGGGAGTCACACCACCATATGGAAAGAAGCGTAAATGGATGGAGAAGCATAGTTTACTGTAAAGCTACGTCTTAGTTTTGCTTATCTTGGCGAAAGCCGAGTACGAATCAGCATGAAGTTTTAACATCTACTCTCGTGTAATGGAAATCAAATTCATGATATCAGGCCACTCAAACAAAAAAGGGTTGTACCTTTCAAAACGATGTTATTTGTTGAAAGTATCTTAATTAGGATTTGATTAAGATAATGTTAATTGTTATTATTTATGTTATTTGCAGTAACATTTAGTTTCACACTTACCTCAGCTCTGAAACATTTACAGAGCTCTTCACAATCTTGGATATGCATAGGCATCCATTCATAAGTATAATAGTTATTAATTATTTTTGCAATATTAATGCAATACATTTTGTATTTTAGTGCACAGGAATTACATGCTGTGCAGAATCATCCATTATGCTGAAAGTGTTGTGTATTTTCTATAAACTTTTTAGGTCTTTATCAATAAGATGCTTTGAAGTATATATAAATTCTCTCTGTTGTATAAACTGTGCTGCTTTACTCACATTCAAAACGAAAGAAAGAAAGAAAAAAAAGCTACTGAGTGATAAATAGCCCTGCACGGTCTGCCTCCAAGCTTTTGCTATGGTACAGCAATTCTTCACGTTGACACACATCTACTTCTTCTGTTGGGATGTTTATTCATATATCTTTAGGTTGCTTTGAGAATGACTTTGCAGTAATCTGAGCCACACACAAAGGTTGAAACATTGAGTGAAGAATAAGAATAAAACCTTTCTTAGATTTTTACCAATCATGAGAAAAGTAGCTATGTAGTGCAGAAGCTTTGTGATGTTAATTCTTTAAAGTGGGTATATTTTAATATTGAAGTACCCTACTGTTTGATGTACAGTATATGAATGTATGTGTAATTTAGCTTTTGTTGTAACTTTCTTTAACAATCTTGTCATTGACTGTTTTTATACGGAGGTGACTAGTTGTACTTGTACTAGTTGTCAAAATTGTGTTTAACCTATGAAAACATGTTATATCATGTTAAAGCAGGAAAAGGGGACATTTTAAGTTGACATGTTTGAACATATTTGAAATTAAAATGAGTAATTAATTACTAATAGTTCAAATTCAAATTAGGAATACTTTAATATTTGTAAAAAAGACGTTACGCCTCATAGTGCAAGAAACAGACATATGCAACAGTGTAACCTGAGACTGAATATGCTCAATTTCTCTCTTCCTCTTTGTATTTGTCAACTCTGAAGTGGTGCTGACCATGTTTAATGTATCAGAGGATCCGGCTCACTGCCCGCTTGGCTACTTCCCCTGTGGAAACCTCAGTACCTGTCTTCCTCAGCTACTACACTGCAATGGTGTGGATGACTGTGGAAATCAGGCAGACGAGGAGAATTGTGGTTAGTTCAGATTCCTTACTGTCTCTTGTCATTTACTTTGTGTGCTATTCTTCACCTTTTTTATTTTAATTTTACATTGTACTATAAGCCAGTGGTATTGAGCTTACAACACCAATATTTATGCTACATTGTACAGATTTTTAATACCACACATCGACCATTCTAATTCTGATGTATAGTCTGTGTATGATTGATTTTACAGTGACTCTTCCTGCATGTTAAATGGTTACTGCAGCTGGTGGTTTCTTTCAAAAACACTGATTCATTTAGAAAGATGAGTCATTGAATCATTGCAAGCGAGTCGTTCAAAAATGTTGATTCATTCATGAACGAAACAAGTGAATGAAACGCATTGAGAAAGGGGAAAAAAAAATATTTGTATTAGTATTTCAGCAATAGAGATGAGGTGTGAGGTCTTCCTAGTATATGGGTTGATTTTTTTTATCTTCTATCCTTCTTTTTTGCATCTTGTCTTTGATTCTTGTGCTATTCTGACTATTTCTCCTCCCCTCTCTCTGTTCTTCATTCTATGTCAGGTGCAACCATGTGCCAGTTGAGTTTGCTTTCATTGCTGGATGCTGACTATAATACACAATCAATCAAATTGAAAACAACATTTCTGAAATTTTCATCTGCACAAATTGTCATATTTCATTTATTATCTCATCCATCTCCCTGAATAATGGCAAGCCTATCAGATAAACAATTTGGTTTATCATGGTTTATCAAGCCCTAAAAACTTGTATGAAGTTGTAATTGTCCTCCCACCTTAAAATCAAATAGCATTTCTTGACTTGTTAACAATTACCTGCAGATGATTTATTTTTTACAAGAGAAACCCCACAGTGCTGTTTTTCTTGTGAAGAGACACTGTGCAAATGGGTGGTAATTTCCCATCATTGCTCTGTGATCATTTGCTCCAGCAATGTTACAACATGTTATAATGGCCCTAGATGGCCCTAGATGTTATGTATAGTAGGCAGTTTTGATAATGTCATACTTGTCAGAAACAGAGCATGCCCAGCTGTTTGGCAACTGTCTCACAGCATCTGTCACAGTGACTGTATCAAACTCAATCTTAAGTGTCAACATTTGGCCCCTACAGCAGTGGCACCATGTTTAACCTTGTCTTACTCGCTTTCGCGGCCTTTGCACGATGGAGAACAGGGGGAGATTAAAAGGCCTCACATCGGCACCAGACTGTAAAAGGTCAGGGCGAAGGGAAATGTCACTTTGTATATAATATCTTAAGACATTTACTTAGCCCTGTGTGTTGAGTCGAGCAGAACAGGATAGACAGGAAGTGAGAAGTCCTCTAATGCTTTTCCAAATCCCTGAGATTGGTATTCCGAGCGTTTGAGATTCCACTCCCACCTTTCTTATCACATTCACATTGTCGTAACTGAGTTATCAAAGCTTTTTCAGGGCCAGAAAGGTCACTGACGGATATCTCTGTAAACTGTAGGTATGAATTGTCCAGGCTTAGTACCTTGCGTGCATAGAGATGCTTTCTCCCGCTGTTCTTCGAAAAGTTGGGTATTGATGAAAGGGCAAGTGACCTAAGTGATAAGTTGTACTTGAGCTCTCGAAAGATAAAGAAATAGTCAAGAAAGAGAAAGAGAAGAAATTGTACCTTTTAGATTTTTATAGATAATGCAGTTTTGTATAAACAATTGAATATAAAAGAAAGCGGGATGTGGGCCGACCCGCAGTCAATCTCATTCTGTCTCTCTCTCATCTGCTCTCTCATGAGGATGAAAGACACATTTTGACTGGGTGACGCCACAAAGAAAGCCATTTGTCATTTTTGCCATGAACGCTTTGAACCTCAAGAGCTTTGTCAGATTGTAAAATTCAAGTCCCTCAGGAGGAGTAGAGTATTCATCTGTGGGCTCATATACATTTTGTCATCACTAATGGTGTGTAGCTTTGATTTAGCATCGGATTAATCTTAGAAACTGAAGATAGATTGCTGCACCACAGACAGTCATCCACTATGGCTGTGGTTTAGTCTATTCAAAATAATATTTTGTCTCCACGTCAGCTTTTTTCCTACTTTGTGGATTTTCTTCTTCTAGAAAACTTAATTCCTGTATCTTTTGTGAGTTGTTTCAACAGTGGTTAGTTTTGTTAGCTGAGATTGAGATTGAGACTGGGACTGGCATTTGGAGGTTGGATTCTCTCTCAGTAATCCAGGGAATCTAAAATATCTCTACAGGCTTTCTTCTGATAATGAGTTTTGAAATACCAAATAAACAAAGCATTACATTAACCTTTTCAACCAACAAATTGCTATGTCATCCTACCTGTTTATTAGGCCAGAAGTACCTTCAGCAAGTTATGGTGTATTTTATACTTGTAACGTATTTGCTTATGATTTTAGCAATACTAGTATAATACGATCTCAGAGAACAATTTTAATGCTCAAAGATTTTACTTTCAATCAGCATGAGAAATAATGTAGTTAATGTAGTTCTTAATTGTATATTGTAACAAGGTTCAGTTGTTATGGGAAGGAGGCGGGAACCGGTGAACATTCAACAAGTTTAATAAATAAATAAACAAATACAAAAATGAAAGTATAAGCCAGCAGCCCCTTACGGATGACTGCTGTCACATATCACAAAATAAAACACAACATAAATTCAGGCCTGTTCCTCTCTCGATCTCCAGTGTCGTCGCTCCTCCTTTTATTCTTCCGCTCCTCCGTGAGAGATACGAGACCGGTGCGTCGTGCCGGTGTCGCTCATCAGTAATCACGCCACCGGCCTCGCGCCGCTCTCTCACAGCCCTCGGCCTCGTCCTGCTCGCCACATATATGTTTAATTTAAGTATCAGCTTTGTCTCAGACACTTGGCAGTCCAAATGATGCTAAAGGTTTAAACCTATACAGCGAGTTTAAATTGTGCAGCTCAGGTAATTTGGTCTTGGAAAGATTTGATGATAAATGTTTGAGCTCATATTGAAATTCCTGACTTTTCATTTCAGATTGCGAAATCTGAGCACAGTTTGAGACATTGCTGAGAGGCTTTTTCCCAGAAGAGCTTTCTTATTACAAGAAACAAATTGATATATTAAAGAGATGTGCTGTATGATTTTTCCCCCCACCACAAGTATTAGCCATCTCAGAATTTGATTAATGCTCTTCTAGTTTAAAAGAACAGCCTATCAACAAGGTCATGATGCACAGTTGGATATGTGACTCGAGGCAACTGCTGAAAATGCAGTAATCTCTGATGGATTGGTTAAAAGATTCAAAAAACATTATAATTAATTCTCATATGCTGAACATGTCATTTTGGTTCTGTTTTAGGAAGACACGAGAAGTAAATCCCATCAATTTTGTTTGCATGGCTTAAAATGCAGACTGCAATGTTAATGTGACACACTGTGTATTGATTCAATGTCCATTCATCACAGAGTCATTAATTATAACTTATTTACAATTCCATTATCGAAATGTGTTACTAAAGGATTTTTCAGCAAAGGGTCCATTAAATAAAACTAGTAAAACAAGGTTGGCGGTTTCAAATTTGCCTTTGCACTGTCAGGTTTGAGGAAGGGATGATGCGAGGACTCCTGAGACAGAGGAGTTGATGGGGTTTATTAATTAATTCAATAATAATAATAATAAAACAAAAACTACCCTGTGGGGGAAAACAGAACCAGCAGCTAGACTTGGCAGGAAGCAGGTAAACACCAGTGATGGCAATTTCAAAACACTGCTTCATGAAGCTTCGAAGCCTTTACAAATCGTTTGTTCCAAATCAATGGTTCGGAGCGTGTATCAAACTGCCAGAGTCACGTGATTTCAGTAAACGAGGCTTCATTACGTCATAACTGTTTCGAAACGTTTCGGAACACTTCGGAATTTCAATGGTTCACTGCTGGGGGCGATGATCTCTGTCAACCCATGAATCATGATGATTCACTGAGAACCATTGAACAAGTGTCTGTGGGTTTTACCTGATCTCTGATCAGTTTTATACATCTGTAGACTATTTAATTAGACATTAGTATAATTAAAATGAATAATGGTAGTTAATAGTCTTATTGGCCTATTTAGCTGAGCCATTCATAGAACTAACAAAACAAACCCTGACAATTGATAAAAGAACATATAAATTTGATAATCTTGTTAGATGATTAGATAATTACATTTGAAAGATTTTACTTTCAATAAAACATTTGCAATAAATTTGTAAAAGGGGTTTTTGTGCATGTTTGCCCCGGGTTTTTGTTGCATTTTGTTACACACTGTTCTGACCACTAGGGGTCACCATGGAGACAGGTGTCTGATTGTTTCGAAGCCTTGACACAATACGGCACATTTACTTCAACTGTTTCAGTGTTTCACAAAGCCTCGATCTGAACACCACTAGTAAACACGACATACATGAGACGCCGATCTGGCACAGGACTGAGCACACAGGGAGAATGAACATTGAAGGAAATCAGGAGGGTAACAAGGGAGAGCAGGTGGAGCAAATATACCAATACTCATGTAACAAGAAGGGCATGTTAAGACAATAGACAGTAGAGCACATGGCACATAGAAACAAACATGTCAAGCCATGTGCTCACACCAAACAAAAACAAGAGCACATGGCCAGGGAACACAGTCACAAGCCATGTACTCAAACAAGACACCAACACACAGTCAATGAGAGCACTCAACGGCACATGACAACATTAAAGCACACGGCCAATGAAAAACACAAGCCATGTGCTACAAAGCACAAGACAAAAAGAAAGCACACGGCCGATATAACACGAACCGTGTGCTACACAGAACACAACAACACACATGGATAGAAGAGTCTATCTATCTATATCATTTTGAAGTATGTGTCTTGTTACATATAAATGTCTTATATCTTCATGCAGTATGCATGTTTTGGATATTCATAATCCAACATGGATAAAAAATACATCACAGAAATTATATAATTAGGTTATGCAAATACAGTGCTTAAACATTTACAAAACTAAACATTATT